CCACCCAACCACTGGCCGTGATCCCGTCGGAATTGGCCGGAAAATAGAGCCAAAGTGAGCTACCCGGATTTTGGACAGCTTGGAGGTGCCAACTTTGGACCACTATAACTCCATCCTCCGACCACTTTTTTCCACGGACCAATATACCATATTGAAACCCTCAATTCCCTCTTCAAAACCCATCCAATCACTGGCCAATTCCAATGGGATCACGGCCATTGGTTGGGTGGAATTTGAAGAGGGAATTTAGGGCTTCAATATGGTATATTGGTCCATGGAAAAAGGTGGCCGGAGGATGGAGTTATAGTGGTCCAAAGTTGGCACCTCCAAGCTGTCCAAAATCCGGGTAGCTCACTTTGGCTCTATTTTCCGGCCAATTCCGACGGGATCACGGCCAGTGGTTGGGTGGGTTGTTAAGAGGGCATTGAGGGCTTCAATTTGGTATATTGGTTCATGGCAAAAGGTAGCCGGAGGATGGAGTTATGGTGGTCCAAAGTTGGCACCTCAAAACTGTCCAAAATCCGGGTTAGCTCACTTTGGTCCTTTATGTTTGAATTAAAGGCAAAACGGTCCTCCAGTGACTGTTTGTGAAAGTGCATGAAATTTCAGTGACTGTTTCTACAAGTTTTGAACTTCAGTGACCGTTTTTTTATTTTTGCGTAAGTTCGGTGACCGTTTGTGAAATTAACCCATTTATTATTGTATTTTAAAATTGGTTTTGATATTGAAATACAATTATTGGAGTAATTCATGTATGCTCTTGTTTAAAATTTCAGTTACAAAACATGTGATGGAGTAATTATAGGAAAATAGTATTTTTAATGTTATTTTCTAAAATAGATAGTATATTAGGTATATATATATGAGAGTGTAGAACTCTTCACAAGTAATGCTATTAATAGTGAAAACTATTAGTAGTTTTCTTACATGGCATAATGTGTCGGTTTGTAATTTGATGCATTAATGTTGTAGTTTTTCATTGACTCGTGCATTAAATTTCAAAATCGCCATATATATGTCATGTAGGACGACTATCAGTGGTGTTCACGATAAATAATATTACTATTCACTTATATTTGCCTTTCTCAAGTTTTAGCCCTTGTTTGGCCCTCATTAAAATTTTTAAAATTTTTCCATTTCTTAATTTTAACCACACATTCTCCAAATAAAATAATATTATACACAAATCTAAAATTTTTCATTATTTTTTCGACCATACATTCTCTCATCAATCACTATTCCAATATTTATAAATTCTCCAAAATGGGGGCCAAACAATGACTTAATATAATGTCAAAGTTCACTAAATTTTAACAAGCAATTCAATTCAATTAATATTTTATTTTTAAAAAATTTTAGATTTTATTTTTCAAAATTTTAATTTGTTTATTTTTTAGAATTTATTAATTTTATTTAAAAAAATTATTTGTAAGAAGTTTATATTTTTATTTTTTTAAAAAAATAATTTTAAAATTTTTATTTAAACGTTTATTTTTCATAATTTGAGTGTTTCAGAATATTCACTGAATACATTCAAAACATTAAAAATACATTTTGAGTTTTATATTATAAGTTTATCCTTATTTTCAAAAATGTATTTTCAGAAATATCGTATCAAATATGTTTTCAGTATTTTACAAAAATGAAAATTAT